CCTACGTCATCGCGAAGCCTAATCCCCGGTGAGCCGTCCGGATGCACAAATGGTCCCTATATAGATTCTGGCACGGGTATTTGAAGTGTACTGGAGTAAGTTGCACTGGGATATACGAGTATAGGATGGACCGGAAGCGCTGAAGTGCTACCGTCCCGTCCCGCCCTGCCGCTTGCTTGGCGGTGCTGGGTGATCGATGGGGGGATGCCTATCTTGTGCCGGTAGCCGGTTATGTGTGGTTGGGTAATTTGTTGGTTGCACGAGGTGTGATGGGTGAAGAGTGGATTTGTAAGATAGTAACATACGGGTACAGTCTACTGCAGAATAGGTGCTGTTCATGCGCACTGGTGGAGGAAGGACCGGTTTGGGACTTGGGTTGGGATATGAGGTGATGGGGTGTGTCGGTGGGGTTTTCAAAGGTTAGAGCGGCGGGGGTTATAGGTGGGCGGTTTGTTTGGGGCTCAAGGATTGGGCATGTGGTATTATACCTTGGGGGTTTTCGTGCAGGGTGTGGGGAAATCGAGGTACAGTGTTGGCTGTGGTATCATATCATAGTAGGTTAGTGGGAGGAGGAGCAAGGGAGGTTTCATGAATGGTCACTCGTTCATTGTTGTCGTTTGAGTGGTAACTTAAAAATATAATGTGGTTATCGTGGATTATGGAATGTTGGGTGTGTTTTGGGGTACCGCTGTTAGGTTATTTTGCTTTGGTGAAGGTGATCTTGGCTAGATACTCTCTACTCGAGTAGTGTTGATGCCAAATTTCCCTACTTTGAGCTCTGCTTAATCCTTTGCTAGTGCTATTAGAGTCAACCAGGCGCTAGAAGGCTAGCTTGCATCGCCCGGTATGGAAGATTACTTGACGGGGGATTTCATATACTTGCCGACACCCAAAACTGTGGTGTTTTTCTAGTTTTTGAGGGGATCATCGTAAAAGTTTGGACTCTAGTCTCAACTCCTTACACCCGTGTTCCTCAAGGAATGTGAGTTTGTCCTCGGGGCTAGATGAAAAGATAGAGCACCAGGACCATTTTGGGGGGGCAAGGACCTCGCTCTAGATTCTGTCGGTTTCTCTAAGTTCACTTCATCACAGGTTTTCGTCGCTTTTGTTTTTCTACTTTTCTCCCCAGACTCGTCATGTGGCCGGCACCAAATGCTAATTGCCTTCGAGCTGCCAAGCGGGACCTCTACATCTCCTAAAATACAAGAACACTCGCTACAGAGGAACCAGGTGTGGTCTCCCAAAGGAATATTCCTCAAGCTTACAGTACTCTATTGTCATTGGAGGTGGGAGAGAGAAACGGGGCTAATTATTCCGACTTTTGGTGGGGGATGGGTGTTGGGCGTGTGGGGTAGACGGGGTGACTTATGTATTTCCTAGCTGCCGCAGAGGCTAGACGGACGCATAGGTGGGGGAATTGGCTGGTTGCATTTTGGAGTTGGCTAAAATTCGCGTATATGCGCCCATATATTATGGGAAATAAATGACTATCATACTAAGCGCCACTTCTGGATCGCTCCAAACCCGACACTCGGACACATGAGGGTAGCCGCCCATACCCACTGCTAAATAGTGGAAGCTTACATAAGTTTATAGTGGAATTTTTTTCCCCGCTAGTATACTGAAGCGCACAAGGTTACACAGGAATGGGATGGGGTATCATAATTCACATAGTACTAGTACAAAAGAATCAATAGAAGTTCATCTGTAGGAAATGTGACGTTACTTGTTTTCTTCAAGTTTATTATTCAATCACTGCCAACCATCGGAGAAAGGAACTGAAACCGGCCAACTTCCTGCATGTGCAGATCTTCTCCATGCTGTGCCCCCCGAGACTCGAGTTGTACGATAAAGGTAACAGCAATTTTGTTAGAGGGTAGTTTATTATCAATTAGCCGTTTCTATTCCGTACTATTCGTTGGGGCTTTAAATCCTGTTGAAGTTAATAACTCTCATTATCATTCAGAGAGATATATACTCAATAGGCCTGTGTTAAGCAATTTCAGCAAGAGTTGGTCTTAAGTAGGGCTGCGGATTAGTCCCCTTGTTACATATCGTCATAATATTGCGATACTCGGGGGAGTATACTAAGGATATCAAGGAACCAGGGCTGTAAATGGGCCATGACGACAAGGTACTTCGGAGGGACCGTAACACAGCACCTCGTATAAGAGTTACACCCACACTTCACGCGTCTATCCTAATCCCATAACTTTCTTCACTTGATCTTAGAGATTATCCACTTCACTCCACTCCGCGACCTACCGCGAATACGGAGGTAGAGGGTGGCTATCTGTAGAAGCATGTGATCTAGCCCCTGAGCCGAGTTAGATAGTGAGTAGATTCACGCCCTCTGTGGACTAATCTACACACAAGGATTAAAGGCGAAATCCCTGGCAGACATTACTTGCCCACGGCGTGTTAACGGGAGCTCACCTGTGTTGGATCCAATCGTCATATTATAACGATTCTCTACAATATATTTATCTCAGGTTTGGCTGACCTACCCCTCAATCAGGTATTCTGTAAGCCCTATCAGATTTAACCTGCAAACGTTTCCGGCTAGTTCTCTAGGATATCGTGCCCTATTCGGCAAGCAAATCCTAGGAGGTGGGCTATAATGTGTTTTGACAAATATATGGCTGTCCCTTACGTACGATTCAAAGCATCATCTACTCTTGGTACCGTCGGTGTGCCCAATAAACATACAACTTTCATCCTTGGATGCCCTCCTCGTGCTTCCGCAGGATAGTCAAGATCACCCGTACGCTTCCGGTTTTCGTTTTTCCTAGGGGAAAATAGGTTAGGATCTTCATAGTGCCCTGATATAGCTATGGCTTTTGGTCCCTCTTCTTAACTCGTGAATTCATGGCTAATCACTCGGAATATCTTGAAGGTTGCAAGATTTGTGGGTTCAAGGCTGGATATTGCTACCCAACTGTATATTCCCAGACCACCGGGAGCCTGCTTCGTATATGTAGCCATACGACACAGCTCGTAGTGGAAGTAATAGCAGGAGATAGTCCGAAGGTGGATTATCCTGCATCTAGTGATCCTGATAAAGCCGAGGACGACGAGAGGGGCTATAAGCTAGCGTATGAATACGTGGTCTGGCTTTTTAGAGCTTGCTCCCCAGCGCTCTGTAGAAGCTTTTATTGTGGGTTTTACCATACCTCCACTGGCTTATAATCAATGTTCTTCTCGTTCGCTCGCCCAATACTTTGTGTATTTGTCCGGCATTTCGTTAGAGAAAATGTCCAAGTTTAGGGTGCAAGGGGTATCAAAAAATCTACGTATCAGTGTTGAACATTATCCTAATAGATTTATGATTGATCTGCTAACATCCGCTCTGTGGGGGAGCCGGATAAGTTGAATCGGTTGAGTGAATATCCTTATCCACCTCGTATCAATGAATACGAGATGCACCTTTTCCTCCATGCACCAGACGTTCCCAACGAGGTCACAATGACTGTATGGTTCTTGTAATTCCTCCAAGTGCCGTGTTAGGATTTGCCGGGCTCTTTGCGGCATTGAATTTGGTGTTTGGGAGTTTGTTCGCTCCCCAATGGGACCCCCCACTGATTTTTCTTGTTCATTGGCATAGAAGCAATAAGATACGATCCTATTCACTCAATGAATAGGGAAAAGCATAAATACCAGCTCTATCCTCTCACATCCTTCTTTCGCCATCGGTCCCTCACTGCCCCGATCTCACCTAGACCAAAACTCAATCGAGCATTCTCCCACTGGTCATCACTCCGAACTTGAAAACAACACAGCAACTACCAGAACAAACTCTCACAATCAAATCAAATCACCAGTAATCTTCCCCTCTTCCGCTATCATCTCCTCCGCCAACCGACACTAACTAAAACCCCCTAGTGCTTCTGAAGCCCCTCCCTGTTCTCGCCCTGTTCATCACTCTCGCTCACGCCGCGGCACTCGCGAATCCCTTTACCGAGACTGGGGACCTCGAAAAGCGCGATTGCAGGCCCGATGATTGCTATTGTAGCACCTCGTACCCCCCCGGGGTCTACTGTGGGTACTGCTACGCCGTGAGTTCATGCCCAATTGGGGGCGCCTGCGAGGGGAACGTGTACCAGTGTGGCGATGGTGGGAGTTGCTGTAAATATGGGCCCAGAGACAGCTGTGCCAGAAGGGAGGGTCCTTGTGGTTAAAACACGGGTTTTTCTACCTCAAAGAATTGATTGAGATACGGCGGAATGAGGATGGAGGAAATTTCTTTCCAATGTGTTTTTGTTCTTCCACTGGTTAGGAGAGGGGGGGATGTTTTCACGCTCATTTTTTTCTCACTTTTCTCTTGAGAATTTCCAACTGTTCTGGAAGGTTGATTTATGCCCAACTTGGGTTCCTTGAGCAGTACACAGTGCTCTGAATCAGTTTTTTGGTCATCTACTGTCACTCGGGAATGTCTTACGTGCTCTTGGATGTTATGAATGGAATATGAATCTGTGTCTGAACCGATTGAGGCCCAAAAAAAACACTGGGCCAATGCCAATAAGTAAAGCTAAGGGGTGAGTTATTCTGGTGGCCATTCAATTGCGCCGGAAGGGAGATGACGATAACATATCCGCCACCCAGTGCAGCGACGATGGTCGGTAAATTTAAAGAATTCCGTTTGGCGGGGTTGGTCTCGAGCCGCACTTCAAGGGGTTATCGACTTCGCCAAGGACATGAAACACCATTTTTTTGGTGGACCGGTACTTTTTTGTCCAGGGCGGTGGCAGGCTCCGGTCCCCGGCATAGGGGCCGCTTATGATAGCGGGGCTAACAATTCAACGAAACCGAGCGAATCGGGAAGAGCGGCACAGTAGAAGCCTTGGAGTAGACAATTTCTGTCATCTGGATCAAGTTACTATTTCTTCGTATCACAGATGCCTTACTTCCTTCCCAAGTTTGCGGTTGGGGATGATTCTGCTAGTCTACCGGAGTAAGTATTTGGCGTGATGAGGGGAAATGCGACACCGGCACCACTGGAGAGGATAGGCTGCCGGTAATCGCTAATTGGGCCATTCAATGGATCATTCTGGGAAAGGCTTCATGCACGACTGCAGTCTTGGCTAAGGCTGAATATCTCCCAACCCAGGACCCCCGCTTAAGGGCGTTCGGAGTCGACTGGTTTGACCTCACCTCACCTCTTTCATCTCTCCTCACCCGCGGTCATGTCATTCACCCAGCTTCCAAATGAGATAATACTACTGATAGCACGGGGGCTAAGCGACTTCCGAGACCTCAGCGCCCTCCTCCGCACAAGCAGACGCCTAGCGTCCCTCCTCAGCTCTGAAATAATCAACGCCGTTTTCCGCAGCAATCGCGCCGGTAGATACGCTGGAAAGCTTCTATTTAGCGCCGCTAGCCGTGCGGACGAGTCTACATGCGAGTACCTCATCCGAGAGAAAAGAATCCTCAATGTGGCATATTTCAGCCACGGCACGGTCCTGCATGCCGCGATATCGAGCGAAAGCACCACCATCCTCCGTACAATCCTGAAGTACCCGGGGATTGACGTGAATCAGCCAGACCCCGACGGGAGAACCCCGCTATTTTACGCGGTGGAGTTGGTCCATGCTGCGGCGGTACGACTCCTCCTGCAGCGAGAGGATATAGACGTTAATTTTGAATCCGACACTTTTATGAATGCCTTGCGTTTTGCGGTTTCCGAGGACTACGATGAGCTGGCTCTCGCGCTGTTGGAGGACCCGAGGACGGATGTCAATCACCGGGGGCGTGATGGACTGCCGGTGCTGCATTCGGCTGCCTGTGGAGGTCATTATCGGACAGTTAGGGCACTTTTGATGCACAGGGATATTCAGGTCAATACTGTGACGAGAAACGGAGACACACCGCTGCATCTGGCGGTGCGTAAGGGCTATGATCGGGTGGTTGGGGCACTTTTGAAGCACAGGGATATTCAGGTCAATGCTGTGACGAGAAACGGAGACACACCGCTGCATCTGGCGGTGCGTAAGGGCGATGATCGGGTGGTTGCGAAACTTTTGAAGCACAGAGATATTCAGGTCAATACTGTGACGAGAACCGGAGACACGCCGCTACGCTTAGCGGAGGCTGGTCGGTTTGGAGAGGTGGCGCAGGTTCTGATTGCCGATGAGCGGGTTGATGTCAAATGGGAGAGACTGCAGACTGCAAGGCTCTACCTCTGGATGTACCCGCCTCAGGAGTCAGCCAGTTATCGCGGATGCTCACTCTTCTGCTATGACCAGACGACTTTGATCCATACTAGTGGCAGGTGGTCTTATCCTGTGCCCCCATTTTACCGGCGATACAGATGATGGTTCTATTTAGCGACGAATGTACTAGTTTATTACCTCATTAAAAAGATGTGCCTGAGAGTTCGGAAGTCCAGAGGTGAGATATGGTGAAGAGAGGTAAACAGTATTGGGGAGACGTAAGAAGCAGCGAGGAGATAGAAGGGAACGGGGAGAAGAGAGCGGAGGAGAATGGAAGGAGAGAAAAAGGAAGGCGGAATTTTTTGATCTATATATATAAAGTTGCCTATTCGCCCCATGGGGCTAGCGAGAGACTGCGAGGGGCTGCACAAGTGATACTTCCTGAGTTCAGTTCTGGTTAGGTTTTTTCCTTTTTCTGGAAGCAGGTGGAGGACTGTAGCAATTGCGCTGGTGCAGATGATCTCGAAGTTCAAATTGTGAACACGCTCTCCATTTGGGGATAAATTTCAGATTTTGCCCGGTGCCTTAAAATTGGACAGTGGAAATATCGCGCAACCCGAGGAAGCGCCACTGGGGTAGTAGCCATATCTTCTGACCTCAAGGACCAAGTTAAATCGGCTCGTGGTCATGAAGCCGATGCCAAGTGATTTATAACTGGAGTTCAATATCATAGAGGGCGCTCTAGGGCGTAGCCAGCCCAGTACCGGTATTTAGCTTATTGAGCGAGGGTGTGTCCGGGGAACAGGAAAAAGGATGGGCTCGGTTATCGCCGGTGGTCCACCCCTCCCTGCATTCAAGACGGATGAGCTAGCTGAACTACCGTACTAGGACCACAGGAGCCAGCAGGGTGTTCAGTTTTCATGGTTCTACTAACTTACATGACTGTGTTAGTAAATAGGGAAAAGGAAAAGCGATGACGGCTGAAAAGTGAAGAATAACTAAATGCTATGTACCCCGCAAACTCTCTATATAACTCTCACTATTCATTTCCAGTCGTTCGCATGGATACGTGGTTTGATACCCTGACCAGTGAAGAGTCTGTCAGCTCCTCTTGTCGTTTCGTTGCTGGCAGGCTCGGGCGGTAAAATCAAAAAGCCATCGCTAAACGACGGATAGTGCGGGAAGCACAGAGAACAGAATAAAAGGATAGGTATAAACACTAAGTTACTGGCGCTGTAGATTTGAGGCCGTGCTCAATAGGTTATTTTGGCCTAATCATCCAAAAGAAGCAAGTCTCGCAATAGTCCATACACTGGGTATGGCGGGAACCCGGGCACCCACGAGTCAAGAGTTAGGATGGAAAAAACAAAGCTATATTTCATTGCGCCACTCAGTTCCATTCGATCGAGTGTTATGCTGTTTATTTCCGGGCTACTGTGCTAGGGATGGCAATCAGGAAACACACCAGGTTTTTCATTCTAGTCACTCAGCCGCCTGCACGCCGTGAAATACCCCCCCCCATTCCGGCAACTCCATAGAGATCTAGTAATTTTTTATACCAGCCCTGCCAACAGGATATAAGTTCACAGTGAGTTCTCATACCGAACCGCATTATGTCGTATCGTATGTCAGGAAAACTACTGTTCGAGCCCTGTTCTACAACGAGTGATAGGGGATGACGATTGGAATTGCCGTGCCAGGGGCAAAGATCGTTCTACATGTATTAAAATCAGGTAGATGAGA